GACACTGAACAGAGGAACGATTTCTACCACCATGTGCAACACCTCGACCACGTCCTCCATCACGATTCTGCCAGAAAAGCTATTGAATCCACCTTGAGAAGGAAAAGAGGAATGCTGAAAGGTATTTGGTTGAGAATTTGGAATTTGTGGCTGTTGAAATGCTAAATTCACATTCGGAGCTCCGTTTGCAACTGAAGCAGTCTGAGCTACATTGATAGTCAGAGGTTCTTGAATGATTGCAATTTTTGGTTGTTCTAGTTGTGCTTCTTGAGCAAGAATCATGGTTTCAAGGTCAACAGGAGAAAGAACATCATCACGGCTAACAAAGGCAGCGATTGTGGAGATGAGTGAGTCATATTCAGGTAGAAGGCCTCCAATGATACATTCAGCGTGTTCTCTGGTGGACACAGGACTTCCAATGGAAGCAAGAATCTCAATGATAGTATTGATGCGAAGTAAATATTCAGAATAAGTCCTTGTTCCCTTCTTTATAGTGCAAAGTTCGAGACGAAGTTGTGTAGCCTTGATTTTGGTAAGAGAGTGAAAATGTTAAAAAACCATATCCCATATCTGATATGAATGGCGGCAAGACACGACGAGCACTTGAATCGAATCTGAAAGTGTGGTCAGGAGCCAGGAGAACAAGAGTGAGTCCTTGCGATCCCATGTTGTGTACTCAGGATTCACAGTATTTTCACCACGATCCTCACTAGTGAGATACTTCATCAGAATCTTTGGACTAACAACAAAACGCTCAAAATCATGAGCACGAATGATAGCAATGACCTGTTGCTGCCAGGTCATGAAGTTTTTCTCATCAAGTTTACAGGTGACAGTTTGAGAAAAAGTGTTAGTGATACTGGCAGAAGCTTGAGTGGAGTTTGCAGAAGCGGAAGTGATTGGAATGCAATTGAAGATACAGAAGAGTGATTTCAAGAATCAAAGAGAAAGAAGGAGAAAAACAACACCTCAACAGGGGAACACAAATTGAAGAATCACACTCGAAGAAAACACACAGAACACAATGGCGAGAGAATCGCTTCGTCGAGAGAAGGCAATGACAAAAGCACGATGCAGCGACGGGAGAAAAATGATGAGAAAAGCGACAACAAGAGTTTCTTCGAGAGAACGCAACAGCAAGAAGGAACGCTTCGTCAAGAAAGGGCGATGACAAAAGGGCGCGATGCGACGTAGAGTGAAACAATGACGAGAGGATACGACGGCAAGAGAAACGCTTCGTCAAGAGGAGGCGACAACAAAGGGGCGTGACACGGTGGCGAGGGAAACGAAGGTGAGAGAAACGCAAGAGAAGCGTGAACTAACCCAAGATCGCACCAAGCTCACGATGATACCATATAGGAAAAATAGAATTTAGAAGAGAATATTATTGAAAATAAAATGCACATTGTGTTGTACCGTTACATATATAGAGAATTAAAAAGACCTAAAACAGTAAACTAACTGAATACAACAAATAATAAAAGTATTTATTATTTATTCTCTAATAAAGTGATTGGAGTGGTTTCCTCAACTGTCCTATTTCCTAAGCTCTCACTTTTTCCTACAAGGTCATCTTTTGTAATGTCATCTAACACTGCTTTTTGCTTCTCTGTTGGTTTCTTTTCAACTTCAACATTTGTCTCAAGTCTGCCCTTGTACATTGCATTTTCATTGAAAGTAACATCTTTGCTTCTAATGACCTTTCTGTTTTGATCATCCCAAAAGCGATATCCCATATCATTTGCACCACAGCCAATAAAAATGCACTTTCTTGCTTTTGGATCAAGGTTGTCCTTGTCAGCATCTCTAACACAAACATAAGAAACACAACCAAATACTTTCAAATGAGAAAGACTTACATCCTTGCTTTGTCATTCGTCCTTAAGAATCTTGAACCCTATGGGAACTGAGGGTTCTCGATTAATGAGGTATGCTACTGTGCTCGCTGCATCTATCCAAAATGTCTTTGGTAACCCTGCATGAATTCTCATACTTTTTACCCTCTCATTCAAGGCCTTGTTTATTCTTTTAGCAACACCATTCTGTTGAGGTGTCTCAGGAATAGTTTTAAGCATTATAATTTCATTCTCAGCACAATAATTAAAAAATTCAGTACTACTGTATTCACCACCATTATTAGACTTTAAACATTTAAATTTTAATCATGTCTCATTTTCAACGGTAGCTTCCCACTTTTTAAGGGTATTAAATACTTCTGATTTTTTCTTCAAAAAATAAATTCATACATTTCTGGTGGAATCATCAATGAAGGTGACACAATTCGTGATCCTCCCAATGATGAGACTAATGTTGGTTCGTACACATCTGTATCAACAAGCTCCAACTTCTCAATCTTTTGCATCCCCCTGACTTGGCAAAAGTAACTCTCTTCTATTTTTTAAACACACATGGTTCACAAAAACCAACTTCTACCTCTTTTAGTTCTGGAATCTTCCCCTTTGAGACTAGTATCTTCATACCCTTCTCGCTCATATGACCAAGTCTTTGGTGCCACAGAGTCGAAGAGTGACCAACATCATCATTAACTGAATTTACTTCTTCTACAGATAATTCTACCATGTAAAGGGTTCCTTTCTTCTAGTCATGAGAAACAACTAGATTACCCTTCACCACCTTCCATTGACCATCTTTGAATATAACTCAATATCCCTAAACATCCAACATAACATTCTCTTGAGTCTTGGAATATATCTTAAGTCCTTCAGTGTCCATATTGTACCAGCCAAAGTTCTAAGACTTATATCTCTCATGTCTACGATGTCTAAAGCTTCATCATCTGCTAGACGAACTTTGCCAAAATTCTCAATTATGAAATTTTTCATCAAGTCCTTGCAAGAAGAAGCATGGAAAGATGCACCAGAATCCATGATCCAGGATTCAAACTTACTCTCAATGCAACAAACCAACACATCATCAATGTCTTCTTGTGTTGTCATGCCTCTTTCCTTTAGGAGCAACAGGAGTTATACACTGGTTTCTGAAGTGGTCATTCTACTAGCAATTCTAACAGGTAATATCCTTGCAAGGTTTGGATTGTCCTTGCTTCTTGGACATTGATCTATCACGCCTGGAACCTTGCCCCCTTTTAGGCCTTCTACCTCTACCTTCTGTGCTCAATAAGGAACCTAATGATTCCCTAGCGTTTCTCTTATGAACATCCTCACCAAAGATTAAATCTCTAATTCCTTCGAAGGTCAATTTCGTAGTCCCATATGTACTGGCGACTGTTGTGACAGTTCCTGACCAACTATCAGGCAACAAAGATAGCAACAATAAGACTTGTACTTCATCATCAAATTTAATATCCATTGATACTAATCTCAACAATAAGGAATTAAATTTGTTCACATGATTTGTAACACTAGCACTTTCTCGCATCTTCATATTAACTAGTTGACGAATCAAAAATATCATGTTTGATGCTGATGACTTCTTGTACATGTTTTATAATGCCTTTATCAAACCATATGTTGTCTTCTCGTTGACAATGTTGTAGGAGATGTTCTTTGCTAACATCAATCTGACGACGCCTAGAGCTTTCGATCTAGCAACTCCCAATCTGCCCGAGGCATCATTTCTTGTTTATTCTCGGATAGAGGCTGGTACAACTTCTTCTGATACAGATAATCTTCAATTTGCATCTTCCAAAATCCAAAATCGCTCTCATCGAACTTGTCAATCTTCACTTTCCCGTCTTCTGCCATTGCTCCAACTCGCATGAAATCCTAGGCTCTTAATACGGGTTGTTGGGGATCGCAAACACACACGCACAATGTTGTAAGGGGTGGCAAACGCACTCACATGCACAATTACAAGAAAGAAAGTAAATTCACAAGACACAGAGATTTACATGGTTTAATCAAAATAACCTACGTCCACAGCTTCACTAGATGGTATTTTCTATTTCTTGATTAGGTTTACAATTATATGAGTATTTATAAATAAATAAATAAAGCAAATGGGTCAAGCCCAATAAACCCTCCACCTACTCAACAGTGATAAAAAAAATGAAATAAATGCTCTATGCTAAAAAGTAAATTAATTTAATAACCAAACCAATAAAATTTGAAGCTTACTCATTTAAATAATTAAACTTAATTATAAATATAAACATGTATTTAATATACTAAGCATCAATAAAGAGTTTGTTTTTTCTGTCAACATAATAAAGGGTATTTTTTTATAAATAAAAAAAATATCAGAGTCCCGACTATTTTGAGCCCCACCCTTGTTTCCAAGTTTTCAGGATTCAACAGGTGTTTCATGTTAGTAAGCTGAAGAAGGCGGTTCCAGCCCCAAGAGCCCCATCCACACTACCTCAAGTGCTAATTAAGAGTGGAAATACAAGCTCAACCTGAGGATGTCTTGGAACTTCTCTACAATACGAATGGATGATATGCAGTTCTTAGTGAAATTACAAGACTTCCCAGCCGTGAAAACACTTGGGAACTTTTCCCCAAATTGCAACAAAATTTTCCCACTTTTCACCAGGAGGACAAGGTAACAATTTTTATAAGGCTGTACACAGGAAAAATTGTTATAAGGCTGTAGATAGGAAAAATGGGCGTAACAGAGAGGATCACAACCCAAGTAACTAAATTGTAGTGCTTCACGCTAGTCACAGACATGCGATTTTAGGGGAGACGAAGAGGGGCAGGTGAAATTGAACTAAGATTGGAGAGAGAACAGGGTCTCTCGAATATCATGAGTTGATTGCACTTCATTATCTCTTTGTTTTCATTTATCATGCACAGTAAACAACAGAAAATATACACATTCATCTTGCTCTCAATTCTTTTCTTCTCTGTTACTAGTATAGTTTGTACCTAACAAAAACTCCCGTGCATATGGTAGACAACATCAAAACAGGAAATGGCAATCATGTAGCCATTATTGACAGAAAGAACAAGGAATGAGAGATACATAAAAACAGTCGTTCGTTTACAGTCTTTTTTCATTTCAAAATTGAAATGCCAGCATAAAAAATGATAAATTATACGAATAGGAAGAATAGTTTAACTCAAAGCACTTTTACAGTTTAATTAGCATCTAGAAATATGAAGTATTAACCGTACCCCAAATTTGGGGTACGTGGTCCAATGCCTGAAATATTCTAAATGAAAAATAGATTTATTACAACTTTGCAAAATTGAATAAGTTCATCTGGTCTATAGTCATGTACACCACGAAACAATCCTAAATCTTCATACGTCCCTATGCCATTTCAGCTGTGCATGTGCTTACAAAGTATGCCAAGATCTTCAACTCGTGAACACCCTATTCTTCAAAATCTTTTCTGCTTCAGTTACACTCAGATGCCTGAACCCATTCTCCTTCAACCATCTCTTCCCCCCTGCCATACATTCTTGCACTCTATTTTCGTCCATCTTCAGCAACTTCAGACCTTCACTTGCTTTTGGGAAAAAACCTTCAGGTCTCAAACACCATGCCCCAAATACCCCAAATAAAACATCCAAGTCACTACCAAATCTTTCAACACCACTACTGTGAAATTTAACATTACTCATGAGAATACCATTAAAAATCAATCGATCAATTCCTGCTGCCAAACTTCTCCAAACCCCAACAAAATCCCTACCATTCAAACTTACTTCCACCACTGACATTTTACTTTGCAGATAATCCAGGGCTTCTATTAGAGCCTTTGACACGGTCCATCCTTCTTCAACCTTTTGCCATTGCTTCTTGTTCTTCACATAATCTCGAGACTGCACATCGAAACCTCTCAATATAACTAGGGAAATCTTTTCAACCCACTCTGCTCTGAACTCTTCCAATTTTTTTATATCATCATCAAAGATAACCCTTCCAGAACTCTCTGGCAACCCTTCACCATAACTATTTGCATTACTTTCCAAATCTGCTTTATCATCATCATCCATCCCCATCTCAAGGAAAAAGACATCCTCAGACCATTCCTTTAGAACAGATTCAAAGTAATGAGCAGCATTGATGGAAATTGTAACTTTAATTACAGCATCATCATCAGTTAATGCAGTCAAACCTTCAGCTTCTTGGCAGCGGATAAGTATGGAATCAAAAAACCTTCTTATGATAGGAACACCTGCTAATCTGAGAAATTTTGACCTCAAACTTACACTAGGCAATGATCGACAACGATCAATAACAGATGCTAGATGGCGAAGAAAGGCATTAGAAACCAGAGGAGACTTGTGATCATCAGTACATGACGAAATAACTGCACCTTCAACTTTCTTTCTCCAATTATTCTCATCTTGGATGTCTAGTTTCAACTTATCTAGGGCATCACCTAGTTCTATTTCAGCCCATAGATCAAGCCAATCTGGACGATCACAAAATACAGATAGAGAAGAAATTTTCTGCAAGATAAAATCATCATCAAAGGATATCAAGATCCCAGAATGCTCTACCAAAGACTTAATTCTTTTGTCAAAAGCTATCATCAAGTCAATGAGATGTAGCCATGATATTCTAGCAGATGACTGAATTCCCGTAACACTCTCCTCGTCAAGTTGACTAATGTAACTAGGGAAAATTTCTTTTGCCATGTATGTGATTAAGGAGGTTACCATTGCTGAGATCCATTCTTCTCTACAACTATAGCCAAGTAACTTTGCTTCATCAACCAATGGCTGCAACAATTCATCCATAGAGTCAACATAATCCCTTGTGATTTTATATACAAGAGTAAAAATAAATTCTGGTTTATCAACCCATTTAGAGAAATGTCGTTGGGAAGCCAATGATAAGGGATTCACAAGCTCTTCTATTACCCAAAGTGGTTGTCGTAGGGCAACTTCCCTGTCATGGCCCTCAAGTTGCCTAGCTTTCCTTTGCCTTTGCAACTCCTGTAGGTTGCACAAAGCAAGAAAATTTTCTGAGTACCTGAGTTTAAGATCTGCTTGCATGCTCAGTAGAGGATTCAAGACTAGATTTGCAGTCCTTGCATCTGAATTTGAGGCGGTTAAGGCAGAAAGAGGTGGGGGCCATCCAAGTGAAGTAAGAAGTGCCCGATGATCAGCAATTGCCTGGGGCCTCAAAGTAGCAAGAGCCCGGTCTACTCTGTGATCAACTGCTGCTACAAGATGCTTCCACTGAGGATGTGCTTTCGTAATTGAAGTTAATATTCCTTCTGTCGTTTTAAGAGTTTTAATAGCAAGCAGATGCATTTCCTGAAACATTTTAGATATACATTAATGAATATAGTGATCCTATAGTTCCCATTATCATCTAGTTCATATTATTTACATATGCTCACTTGTGAATTTTGACTAGGAGAATGTTTCCTTATGTTTTTGCTCATGGTAAATGATACAGCATCCTCAATATCACCAACCAAAGTATCAAGTTTCAATGCTGTCTCTGGAAGACAAACAAAGGAGTTTTAAGAAACAACCAACATTCACAGAAGGTAACACTTAAGAAATCAAACCAAATGTAGTATGGTAACCATCACTGAAAATGCAAAATATTTTTTGATTATCACAACATATCCACGTCATAAAAAAGCACTGAAACACAAACATTTCGGTAAAAACACAACCTCCACCCTTCCCACAATGTCCTTTTAATTTACATTAAAAGCATCAAGCTTCAATTCAGTCTCTAGAGGACTCTGAGAGTTTTAAGAAACTATCAAAATCCACAAGAGAAATCAAACCAAAGGCAATAACCATTATTGAAAAAGCTTAACATTTAGAGCAAGTTTGGATAAAGTTCTCATTGAGCACTGATAGGGAAAGAAAATACAAAGCAAAATAAATCAAACGTCTTCTCTAAGTTAAAATCAACTTATGAACCTCATCTTTTAGAAAAGTTAGATAAGAGAGTTTCTATAAAAGTTGAAGTGCATAAAACAATTTTAACTTAGGAGAGAAGTTAAATTCACTTTTTTCTTCTCGTTATTGTCTTCTACCACCAGTATTTATTGAGAAAATTATCCAAACACCTTATTGATATTCACAACATATCCATATCACAATCATCATCAAACATGAATACTTCAACAAAAGCAGCATCTTTCAATTCCTCCCAGCCCCACAATGTTCTTTGATTTGAGTAACAAACAAGTTTTAGAGATGGACGATCTGAAAAATGAAGTTTGCAAGACTAGGCATTTCCGAATGGTCTGATAACAATCTCATAACGGGTGGCTTGATAAAACCCAACAACACTTAAGCTCAAATACTATCTTAAGAAACTAGTTTGGGTCAAATTCAACCTTCTAAAAACAACTTATAATATGAAGATTGTTCCATATTTATATACAAAGTTATGACCATTTCATTAGTCAACGTGGAATCTCTAACATAAGACACAAATTGCAGTTTTAAGAACCAACAGCACTGACCAAAAGCAAAGGTTATACCTATGAATCAAACATCTAATTCAAACTAAAATATTTCTTGATCATTACAACTAACTCATATCCTAAGAATCAACCAAACACAAATACCTCAAAACAAAGCCATCGAATCAAAACACCTCCTACAATCTTCTTCCTTTCGAACAATTCAAAAATTAAAAATAAAAAATAACAACCAACCTGCATAGACACGAACAGTCTCCAATCTAGCCACCTCCTTTGCCAAAGTCGCAAGTTCCTCTCTGAAACCCTTTCCATCCCCGTGGTTTCCATCTTCACTCAACAAAACCAAACCAATTCCTCAAAATTCGACCAAAAAACAATAAACCCTAAAAATTAAAAAATTAAAAAAACACCGAACCTGGCACGACGGTGGAGGACAGAGCAGTGAGCCTATCGGTGACGTGGCCGAAGAGGCCGTGTATTTCGCCGGAAAAGGAGGCGTACGCGGCGAGGCCCGCTCCGAGTCGCTGAGTCAACTGGTGGAGCGAGCGATCCAACTCGGAGCACTGAGTCTGGAGCTCGGAGACGCAGTTGGGAGCCTGGGCGAGGGCGCGTTGGGTGTGGAAGCTTTGGTCGAGGAAGGAGAGTGCGGAGGGTGAGAGGTGAGAGGGTGGAGGTAGCGCTTTCAGCCCCTCCATCGTCAAACTAATTCCGATGATGATTCGAGAATGTTCTTCGCCGCCGCGTGCGCCTCTCGCTGATTTCTCCGGTGCCGGATTCCGATGAATCTCTGGATGATACCAAACTTCTTACATTGGGCGTCGCCTCAATTTATTTTATTTTGCTTTCATCTATATCTTAATATGTTAAACTTTTTTTTTTTTTTCATGGTAAATAATATTTTTATAAAGGTTAAATTTCTTTTTAGCCCGTGTAAAATTAGGTATGTTTTATTTTGGTTTTTATAAATTTTGTTTTCATTTTTTAAAATTTGTTGCTTTTGGTCTTTAATATTTTTTTATTTTTGTTAACTATTTTTATGTTTATCATGGTGCAACCATCATACTTGAGATTCATAATTATATTTGATATTATTATAATAATTTTTCTTGGTAATGTATGAAAATAAAAGGCAATTAACAAAAATTACACACAAAAATCTAGTATCTATTCTTATTGCATGGAAAGAAAAATTTAGCGGACTCCTCCATTTGATATTACTTACATTATTATTAGAGTTTCATGCTACAAAAATATGGACTATTTGGTTTATATTACAAAGAATAACAAAAAAAAAAAACATGTCAATCACGAGATAAATCTCTAGATATCTCATTCATTTATATTTAAACTGTTACAACTTGACCTAACCAGATCCAATATAACATTTTCATATTTTGATATACATAAAGTATAAATTTAAAAATTTATGTTATATAAAAGAAATAAAAAAATAATACTTAAGTCTTTACATATAATACTTACTTTTAATTGAGTCCTTATATTATATTATACATATTATAATTATAACACATAATGATATTATACTAATAATGTTGGAAAAATTACATTAAGTATAATTTTATGCTTAAAGATTGAATTTAATTTTTTAAATATAAAATATAGGGATGTAAGTGGATAATAACTCAACCACAAATCTAACCTACCTGAACCAATATAATTACATTTTTGTAGATTGGGTTAGATAATTTTTTTTTCATTATTCATTGATTATAATTGGGTTAGGTAATGGGTCAAAGGATTTGCTATCCGATCAACTTAAATTAACCCAACCTATAATAAATTATAAAATAAAACTAAAAATACTACACACAATATAAACACATAATACATTCCTTTTCAATGTTGACTCACATAGATAAAACACTAAAATTAACAACATTACACCTCACTAGTTCTACTTTTTTTTTCACCAAGTATTGTAAGAATGAGTTGATTAAAGAAGGGATGGAGCAAAAAGAATAATATAATTTCACTTGGTTATGTTAGGAACATTTTGTGTAACACCTTTCAAATTTGATGTCAAAATAGTCCCATGACATTTCATTTAGTGATACTTCACACAATTCCTTGTTGATCATAGTTCTTCATTAATCAAAACTCTTTATTGACAACCCTTTTTGAAATGTTCGATCGCCTTTAGGATCAACAACTTTCCCCACAAATCAACATAAGACTTTTCAGCATGCTTTATCCTCACTTACACACTTTTTGGAAAATTTTCTAAAAGGTCACCCATCCCTAAATTGCTCTAAGTAAAACACGCTTAACTATAAAGTTTTTAAGTGATGAGATACTAAAAAATAGATGCATATTATTGATATATGTAGTACACATTAATTATTTTATGTCACCCTCATCTGTATAATCTCATATTTGTACAAATCTTTAGATCTCTCTCATTCCTTTGTATCTGGACTATTACAACTTGACCTAACCACATCCAATCCGATTGTAGTTGGGGTTGTATTGGATTGGATCACTTTAAAAAATTTACAAACTCAATTCAACCAACCCAATTAAGCTTAATTGGGTTGTGTAGAAAAATAGTCCAAACCCAATCTGTTTAAATCCCTAATAAAATATAAGAAAAACAAATATTGTGTTCAATGATGAAAATATATTATGGATTTTTTTTCTTCATTTTATCTTTTACACTCAAGTTTTCAATTTGGGAAATTTTAAAGTAATATAATCTTTAAAATTTCTTTATTGAAACAATATATTTTGAATTAAATTGTCCTTAATTATTAAGTATGTTTCTTTTATAGGTAAGGAAGTATAATTCTCTTTCCATCGGATCAACTTCTATATGGGTAATGTAGTACATTTAGTCACAACTTCATGCTTAAGACGAGGATCAAACTTGAAACATAAGTGTCAAACTACTTGAGTTAATAATTTTTGGTATTATTAAGTATGTGTTTGGATTAAAAATTTTAAGTTTAAGTTTATAGAAATTTAATTTTTTTAATTGGTTTTGGTCAAAAGTCTTTTTTTTTTAATTATTGAATTGGCTTATATTTGAAAATATTTACTTTGAAAGTAATTTTGACTAATTTGTTTAGGAAATATTAATATAAATCAATTTTACTTGAGTAATTAAAAAAATGATTTTTAATTCAAATATTAATAATATAATATTATAAGAATTTAATATAAATAGTGACAATGTAAAGAATTTCAAATAAATTATTATTTAATTACAAAATGTCATATACCATCAAATTATTGGTGTAAAAAAATCAAGTTGTTAATCTGAATAATACTAAACTTAATTTCTTTAAATAAAGTCTCAATAAAACTGATAGATCTTTCATATTAATAACATAGTTAAAAAAAGTCTTATATTATAATTTTTATTTATATAATAATTATTTTAAAAATCAAATCTAACTTACCGTATATAAGTCTTTTAATTGATGATGCATGAAAATAAAATTCATAATATAATATAAGCTTAAACAACAATTTTATCTAGAGAGATATTTCGACATTTATTTGAATATATTTTATATTATTAAATAAAATCTATATATGATTCACATAAATTTTGCCCAATACTACAAAAATTGTTGAAAATAGTTCATCAAAGTATATGCGAGTAGCATTTTTCTTTTTGTCTTCTTTTATTCATATTTTTCTTTTTGTCTATGTACTACATTAGAAGTGAACGAAAAGTCAGAAAACAATAGCAATTAACATTTTATAAAAGCAAAAAGTAGTTGAACATGGAAGCAAAAACACTGAAGCTGAAGGTGAGAGGAAGCAATATTGATCTCATTTGCAAAAGAAGATTTACAATGCAATTTAGTGGCACATTTCAAAATGATAAATTCACATTTGGGTAGTGAGAGCAAGAATGATGAAGTGTAAGGGGTAAGGAGTTTAGGGTTTTCAAAAATTAAAAAAAAAAAAAAAAAAAGAAGGGGTGTGAATAGTAAATAGGGAATGTCAATAGAACCTAGAATTCAACAAGCTTAATCAAACTATTGATTTTCACTTCCTACTTTGGGCCGGATTTTGGGTCTCTTAGACCCAGAAATAGAGCACCTCCTCACCTCAAAACTATCATTGAACTATTTTGAATTTCAAAAGACTTATAAGTTATAATCGATATCAGTATATAAAATACGAAAAATTATAATGAACAAGAATATTTTTTTTACGAGAAATTTTAGAGATTTTTTTAATTAATTTATATTTAATTCAATTTTTACTTATAATAATATTTATAAAATAAATTATCGATAAATAAAAATAATTTTGTACTACAATATAAATTATTTATTATAAATCTAGAATATAATTTATATATTTATAAATATATACTTATTCAAATTTTATATATAATTTTTGTATTCAAACATAATATTTATTAATGTACCTGATTTATTTTAAATTTTAGTTATATATAAACTTTAAATTGTACATTACACAAATTAAAATACTAATTGTAGATCAAGATGAATAAAAAAAAATTTATTATTAAAATATTCAATAGAGAAATTCTATCTTTCTAGTAAAAATTGTTGAATCAATTAAAAAAAAGTTGCTCGAAATCCAAAAAGGATTAATCTATTATTTCATAAGTATTATGTTTAAATTTCATAAGCTTAAGACTGTCTCTTATATTTTATTTTGAACTGCATAATAATGAATATTATTTTAGGACGTCACATGTGATTTTAAATTTTTTAAAATTTGAAAAAATTACTTTTTCTTATATATGTAACAATTCCTTATAAATTGCTTAATATTTGTGTATGTTCATATAAAAAAGAAAATGCGATATTAAAGAAAGAAAAATGATAGCTGTGAACTAAATAACTTCTTGATAACCAACATTGGTTGAAAGTAGCAAATAACTCTCTTAACTTGAGAGAAGCATATCTACCTTGCATATGCTTCCTATAGTCACAACTTTCAATCAGTTACAGAAATTTGCATTGAAGTAAAAGTTAATTAGATTGCTTAAAATAAATTGAGATAACAAGATTAGATCCACTTAAAAGATAAAATAAGTGCATATTCCCAATAATATAGCATCATATTTAGACTTGAGGATTCCCCTAAACATTCATAGCAGTAAATGTAGTCGAAGCACTGCACAATTTCTAGAAGCAGGAATTTGCATAATTGTGTAAGTGACTATATTTGACTTTGAAAACAATAGGGACTACCTAAAAAACAAAAATTACAACATTATCTAGGCCATCATAAACTACCCCACATTCAGATGAGAAAAAGTAAACAAACGTAAGTAGTAAGCAAAAATCACTAGTTTGATTAAGCATACGATGAATTGCAAGCTCAAATCAAAATGGGGTAACACTCCCACTTCTTGTTTCTGTAGGACTGTATAATGCAGACCTGTTCCTTGGCCTATTCTCCTCCAACTGCCTCACAACTTCATCCATGCTTGGCCTAACTGATGCCACTGGTGCACAGCACCCCATTGCCAGCTTCAGTGCCTGCACCAACCCATCTTCCATTGGACTCCTTATCCCTTTCAAGAGCTCCACATCGAACACTTCCATCGTTGTCTCCTCCAACACCGCCACCTTCACCATCGAAGGCAAGTCCACGTGCTCGCCGCTTCTTCCATTCTTCCCTGGCTTCTTCCCTATCAAGATTTCAAGCAGCAGGATGCCGAATGCATAGACATCTGTCCTGGAGTTGCACTTCTTCATTCTTTGCAGCTCCGGCGCCTTGTAGCCGTCGGTCTTGGCCAGCGCCACCATCTCGTCGGCTATGGAGGGAATCATCAGCTTGTCAAGGCCAAAATCGGTCAGCCTGGCTGCGAAGAAGTCGTCCACGAGCACATTCTTGGACCTTACGTTTGCATGAGTGATGGGAACTTCAAGTCCTGTGTGAAGATATGCTAGTCCTCGCGCTATCCCCAATGCTATCTTGTGTCGCCTGGCCCAGTTCAGCACTGGTTTTCCGGTTTTTGGTTCTGTGGGAAATTGAGATCACAGCATAATGGTTAATGCCAAATTGCCAAGCAGCAGTGAAACTGTTCAATTCACTAAAACCAAAACAACCATGAGTCTGTTTGAATAGACTTTAGTAGAGCTTTTGAAAGTTCTGTCTATTGAAAATAAAAAGCTTTTTCTGGTAAAGATGCTCTCAATAATACTTCTAGCTTGTATCCAACTAGACTCTATTTAAGTTCACTTGCTTAAATTCTCATTTAAATTCAGTCTTATCTCCAAGAAAAGTAAACACATTATACAATGATAGCCTTCAGTTGTGACATAATGGTGACTCAATTCCTAGGCCTCACAAACAGTCATATAGGATCACATATATTAGAAAGGTAGCAAGTTCTTGCTATTACATAGTTATGTTTTTGGATCATTGGTTTTCTGTAAAGGGAAGATCAAGAAAGACATGCAGAGGATGCTACACAAAGGGGACAGACAGACTCATTTCCTAGAGTTTCTTATATTAGATATCATGATGGTTCAGAGATCTAAACAGAAAGTAAAATTTCTTTTCTCTTTAGGATGAAAATTCATCAGCATCTTGATTCTAGCTTGGGGATAAGTTGAAGTAATATAGGACTTTTCAGTTTAGAGAAATCTTAATAAAATTAGACACATACACTACAAAATGATTTAGACACCAAAAAAGTGTTGACTATGGGAATGTATGGTTACAGTTTTCAGTGGTTTAAACTAAATTGCCATTGTGCAAGTGTATGAGTGAAAATTTGAAATATCAAACCAATAAAAGGAAATGCAATAGTGGAGGGTTATGTATTGAACAAACCATGTAAAAGATCATGAAGGGTTCTGAGAGGCAGATAGTCATAGATAAGGAGCTTCTCCCCTCTCTTCCCCTGATAGAAAGCTCTCAAAGGAATCAAATTCTCATGGCGAATTTTCCCCAATTGCTTTATAACCGACAAGCATGAAACCTTATCTTTGCAGCTACCTTCTCTCAATAGCCTCAAAGCAATGGTGCCTCCATCAGCAAGCTTTGCCTTATAAGCAGTCCCATAACAAGTCTTCTCCAAAACTTGTCCAGTTGCATTCAACACATCATCCAATGTCAAATTCTCACCTCCAGGGAACAACATGAGCTTCCCCTCACCAGCTCCACTAATAGCATTACCACCATTCTCTTCATCCTCCTCTTCATCATTCAACTCATCTTCACTCTCCCCACTTCCCTTTCTCTTCTTGTTCTGCATATAACCAATCAGCAAAGAAGCCAAAACCACAGCTCCTGTCATGAGACTAATAACAATGCCAGCAACTGCACCAGAACTCAGTGAAGAGGCCCTAGCACAGCTTGCCAAAGGTGGCCCACACAAGGCAGGGCTATTCCCTTCAAAAGCATCCACACCAAACTTGGATTCCCCAAAGAAAGGCAACACCCCACTAAAATTATTATGTGAAAGGTTCAATTTTTCAAGCCTTAACCCAACTAGGCCTTGAGGAATTGTACCCATGAACATGTTCTCCCCCAAGTCAAGCTCCTTTAGCCCACCAAACTTGGTGATGAACTCAGGGAAACTCCCAGAAAACTTGTTGCCACCCAAGTCAAGAAACTGCAAATTCTTACAAGATGAGTCAGGCAATGCTGGCTCAGAAACAGACCCAGATAGGGAGTTACCATGAATCCTAATGGAAACAAGCCTCTCACACAAGTTCCAAATGGATGGTGGAAGAACCCCACTTAACATATTGTCACTCAAATCAATGTCAGAGAGGGAGGTGCTATACCCAATCTCAAGAGGGATGGTACCCTTCAATGAGTTTATGTTAAGGTAGAGACTTTGAAGCATAGGGAACTCCCCAAGCTCTCTGGGGAGAGAACCAGAGAGGTTGGCAGAAGGGAGCCGAAGAGAAAGCAAGTGAAGAGAAGGGTCCTTGTGAAGGGTAACATTGCTCCATTGTGGTGAGGACAAGTCAGTGCATGAGAGAGGAGAGGCATTGGAGAATACCCATTTGAGGCCTCTCCACTGGCAAAGTGGGATAGAAGTGTTCCATGAAGAGAGAACAAGGTTGTCAGTGTCACCTTGCAGAGAAGCTTTGATTTTTCCCAAGAGAAGTTCAACATCAGAGGAAGAAGTGGAGGGTGAAGAAGGGGACAGTGACTTTGTGGGGGTGGTACTGGCTTTGCAGAAGCAAAAGAAGAGGAAGAAGAACAACAGCAAGAACAAGGACATGGAAATGTGGAGAGAGAAAGGCTTCAGAAACGCCATGAACTAGCAAAGCAGAAAGAGAAACAAAGAGAAAAAGAGAGAGAGAGAGAAGTAGCGAGAAGTTCAAAGTTCAAAGAAAGAGGCTCTCTTTTCTGGGAAAGCTGACACAGTGTTGACTACTGTGAGTGTAAGACTAAGGAGTAATCTCTCAGTGGCTCATGCTATGGCCTATGGAAATTCAACGGTTATGATGCCATTCTACATTACCACTCATGTAATCTCAACTTGTTGTAACAAATCATGCACCGTTTTCTCCCATTTTTTAATATCTATATTGGTCTTAGCATTGATCCTTTTTCTTTTTTTATTCTTTAAGTTGCATTGCTTCTCCTGTGTTATGGAATTAATTAGCTACTTTGTTATTGTCATTCGTATATATGCATGATGATTATGTTATGTTACTGATAAAAAGACAATGATTATGCTAAAAGTTTAATTTAAGAGGTAAGTGAAGGAGCATGAGTTTCTTAGATAACATGGAGCAAGAACAAAAGAAATTTAGGTACATTTATTGTTTGTGAAAAATATTAAATTGAAGGGTAATGGTTTTTTATTTTATTTTATTTAAGGGTAATGGTTTTCTTTAATCTCTCAAAGGATTAATTATTTTATTTTCAAAAATATATTACATCCGATCTCTATTTCTATTAATAGAAGATTAAAAGAAGATGTTTTTTTTAATAATAAAAGCTATATCTAATACATTTTCATACATAAAAAATTAAAAGGAGGTAATTTTTTTTATAAGGACGATATAGATACAAATGCAAAGTATTTACTAATAAAAACAATAATTAATTTATGTCGAATTGAATTATTCAATTTCTAATGTATTGAACAACAACAAAAATCCCTAATATTCTTACATAAATTTTATTAGAAAACCATACAACAAAATAGTGAAATAAAAAACAAAGAAAATATAAACAATAAAACAATTGATTTGATAATAAATAGAAACAAACTTTTAGTAAGAAATTATGATAAATTTGCATGAGACTAAAGAGGTGTTGAATTTTATTTGGGAAACAACTTATTAAAACCTTTTTAATATTTCATTAATAGAAAGCCTAGAATAGTTAACGAATCTCTCCTCGACAATTTTAAAATTCCTAAAAATGATGTTTTAGACAATAAGAATATTCAATGATTTTCCTCTTTTGCTTTTCCAAGTCCTGTGTTATTATTTATTTGCTTCTGCACGCCTACTTTTGCAAAATGGCCTACAAGTTTAATATTGCACTTTGCACTCTTTGAGGAAGGCAAGATTTTCCATGCCTCTTTCTCGTCATTTCAAGGTAAAGATTGTGCACGGCCAATGACCCACCTAGTCCTCCAAAGCCCATGCTTCTGTCACCGTACACGTGTCAATCTGGTTCCTGATTGAACATTGGGTGGTTCCATGAGTTGGGTGTGTATCAAAGACTATGCAGATGATTGCTTCTTGGGGCAGAATGGGATCCCATGTGTTGTGGGTCATGGTAGAAAAGAAAAGAAGGGATAATGATAGTGGATATTGAAGAGAAGGAGAAAAAACAAGAAAAGGTGAATCAATGTCTGATGGCAAAAATATGCTCAGACCCTGAGACTAGTGACCTATGAGTGAAAGTGAAAGTGCAGTGGCAGATTATTCCAAAAATTGTAAATAAATAAATAATATTAATGAGATGTGATAGAATAAAATGGGATGATAGCATAGTTTTAAAAATTGGACCAATTATCAAGCCGGTTAGGGTATTGAGTCAATAAGTCAATCTGATTTAAAATAGGTCGAATGTATAACTGATCCAACTTAAAATTCAGATCGGCTAAACTACTGATTCTTAGGTCAATGATTTTAAAAACAATGGATGAGAGGTTGGTAATACATTTTTATATATTTTTTGTCATTGAATAAATTTAGGTGTGACACTGTGATCTATTAAATTATGTAACTTTTTCATTCAATAAGTCTCTATTCAATGGATGGCATTATAAAATGTAATTAAAATATAGGGTTAGAAACTAAATATATTTGTGGTCTCTTGAGATATATTAATTTTCACTTGTTGTTTTCTTCCATTGGCTCAAGATATTTTGTGTTTGCTGGTAAGATTATATACTCCCTCCCTCTGATTCTTTTTCAAGATCCAATTGCAAGATTTATCAGAATTTAAGTCCCAATTATGTGATTTATCATAATTAAAAATGTTGGTTAATTTAATTGATAGTGTTAAATTTGTTTTAAATTTAATTTTTTTCTTTCTAAAATTACTTCTAACATTAAGAAACTTATTTCACCAATTACTTTTAAATTAAAAAATTAATTAGAGGTATCTTTATAAAAATAATTTATACAAAAAAAACTTTTTAAGTTAGTTCTTATAAAAAATATTAAGTAACATCTTTCATTTGAGAGTTATAAAAAATCAGATAAAGCAGTAAATTACTGTAAAGGAATATTATTTGCAACAACTCTAACATTCAAGTCAAGTTAAAATTATATTGGTGGTTAAAGCAAAAGCCTAAAAGGTGTATTTTGGAGAACTTTGTTACCTTTTGTAGCCTCCTTTTTAATAAGATAAGTTGAGATGAAGTCATGAGAAATGCTAGCAATAATTTTTTTAACAATCATTTTTTTAATACTATGTATTATTGATTGAAATTTATTAAAAAATTATATATTTTAATTGGCTACACTGTTAAATTAAAAAGAAAAATTAAATAAATAAAATGTGAAACTTATTAGTTGTGATTTTTAATAATTTTAAGTCAACAATAAAAAAAGTGTTAAAAAGAAAGTATTAAAAAGTTTAATGTTAAAAAATATTGCTAGTATTTTTACTTTTATAATATAGTTTATCGTGTAATGTAATAAAAGAAATCATATACATAATTTTTGATTGTTAGAGGTTGCTAATCTTGTATTGATTGCCTATCAAGACAAACTATTTTATATCCATGGGTTGAATACCCCTTAATAGACTTGTCAAAAAATTATTTTGATTGATATAACTAAAGGACACTCAAGCAATCGAGAATCGGATAAGGAGGTAAGAAGGGTTCAATAAACTTAGTCATTCAACAACCAAAGCCCATCAAGTAACTCTTTCCATTCCTTGACATCTTCAATGGCCTAACTCCATTAAGTAACCTTTTACACCTTTCGAAAGTTTCAACTTAATAGTGTGTTTGGATGAGAAATTTAAATGGAGTAATTTATTTATTTGAAGAATTTCAAATTCTTTAAAGTGAAATACCTTGTTTAGATGGAAAATTTATAAAGAATTTGAAATTCAAACATTTGTGAAATTTCTTGAAATAGTAGAATTTCAAATTCTCTCAAAAAAGTAAGAATTTGAAATTTCTCATATTTTTTTCTTCTTATTTCACTTATATATTTTATCTTATCTCTTATCTCTTCATGTTTTTAATTATTGAATATTTAAAAATATTTTTTAAATTATTAAATATAATCTAATATTAATTTTTAAAATGTTTAAATATTTAAAAATCAGCTAATATTTATTCTTATACAATTTAATTTAAAAATCTCAACATATAAATATATTTTTAAAATCAATTTTACCACGATAGAATCAAATTATCATATCTAATCTAATAATTTAAAATTTAAGAAATTTGAATTGACTTATCCAAACAAAATATTTTAAGAATGATAGAAATTGAAATCAAAGTAATTCAAATACCAAGAATTTAAAATTCCTTAAATTTGTAAAATTCCTCATCCAAACACACCATAAGCCTATTGAGTATACCTTTACACCCCTTCGACAATTTCGACAACCTTAGTTCATCAAGTAACCCTTTACACCTCTTGATAACTTTGACAATCTCAGCAACCTAAGCCTTACTAGTATGGTGCCGATTGAGAGTGTCAAATAAACATGACTCAATAATGTTGATTAGTCTATATAAGATCATATTACCTAATTGGTAATTACAAACCAAAGTCCATCAACTCAAAAGTCCAATAAAGTTAGTATAAAACTATAAATAGTGATGCATATCGAGGTAAATGATATTATTCATGAAATACTTACATTTATTATATTGAGTGAGTATCTTACTTAAACATCGTAATTTTTTTTACAAGTATATATCCCCTCGACATTATCTAGAGAATCAGTCCTAGAAGTTGAACAATAGAGAAAATTTGAAGTAATATATATAAAAGTACTCTCAAATCTGGACAATAAAATTTTCATTTGAAATATCTCTAGTAAAAATATTTATCATTAAATTTTACATATTCCTTCTTATATTGTTTAAATTTATCTCTTATCTTTAATGATGAGTTTCAATTTTCGTATGAAATATCTCAAGTAAAAAAAAATTATCATCAAATTTTACGTATTTTGTGACACCCTTACTACTCCAACACATATATAATATAATTTAATTAAGAAGAATAAACTTAGGTGCTTTGTGGCATCCTTTCACACTACAATACCTCACAATATCTCAAGAAATACAAGAGAAAGAAAGAGGAAGAAAAAGAGAGAAAAAACAGAGAAATTTCGAGCTCTGGACGAAATTTAGAGCCCCCCAAACTGCTGGCCGAGATTCTCTATTTATAGGCATCAGATGTGGGCCGGAACGGCCCGTTCTGGATTCGGAACGGCCCGTTCCGGATCCGAACGTTATGCAATACATTTGCACCCTAGAACGGCCCGTTCTGAAACCAGAACGGCCCGTTCCTGATGAGATCACCTCTGAAATTTGAAGAGTTTTGATGATAACAAATGTGTACCAAGGACATCAACACCAAAGAAGTCAAAAACAAAGTCAAAGGAAAATGCTATGTAATAGGAGTAGTTTATAGTGTATAAAATTATTTTGATTGAGTTTATCTTTTGTGTGTGCTGTGTGCATAAGCTAAATCTATATCTAATCTGATTAGGGAGTGTATGATGATGAGTTTAAAGGTTAAAAAGTTATTTTGAGACTTAAAACAAAGTTTTGAAAACTAACTCAAAATAATCGATTATCATTAAATATAATCAATTATTCCAGCAACAGGCAAAAAGGGATGCCTTGCTGCAATAATCGATTATTTACAAAATAATCGATTATCCCATAAATGCCTCTCTGGAATAATCGACTATCCAGTAAAATAATTGATTAAATTGTTCTTGGTGGATTTCCAGAAAATCTAAAGAACAAAATAATCGATTATTCTTTAAAATAATCGA